CTTTAGCCTGAATGGCACCACGGGCGTCTCGAGCTCCAGCGTCTTGGGACTCCGCGCTGTCCCGGTAGTGTGCGTGGCGCTCTGAGTCCTTGCAGGTTGCGATCAGCGCGCTCGGTGGGAACGATGCGTTGCGAAGCTGATTATACTACAGATCACCGGCCGGTGTCAGCACTGTCCACTAGGGACAAGCCAGGGATGGCGGTAAAGTGGGTAGAGATAAGAGCCTGAGGACAGGCGGACTTGTGGCACGCGTCGGCCCGCGACGGATGCAAACGCGGGGGTACAGATGGTTTTGAGCGAAGCAAATTTATCATCGCGCGCTCAAAAACGAAACGGGGTACTTGTAGTACTTCACACTAAACGTGTGCTACTTCAAACAATTTTAATGCATTCTCTGTTGCATTAATCGCCTGCATGTGCCCGGAAGGTTCATCCTAAGATTCCTAACGTCCATATAGATACTCCGGGCCCAGTAAGATAGACCCAGTTCAATTTCGACGAGTGTCGTCACAGTGTGACGGTCACGTGCATGTCGCGGAAACGCGCGGCCGCGATGATAAGCCCAACAATTGGGATCCTCCCTGCTCAACAGAGAGAGAGCAGATGTAAATAGACAAACCATAGACATGCCCAAACTTTCATACAAACAAACTCCATGCTATGAGGCGAGTTCCGCAATCTCCCTCCTCCGAGTCCTCGTGCGCACCCGCTGACTGAGGTACTCCCTATCATCGGGCGCCGGCAAAATGTTGGCTGAAACGGCAGGCCGGTCAGCGGGCCGCTCGGGAGAAAATGCGATACATGCAACGCACAGAGGATTATCTTGCCCCTGTGTGAGGTCGGGATGGCCTTCACCAGGAACTCTTCAAGATCTTCCCAGGCGCCCTCGCCCGCTCGAAGGTTCGTCTCGATGTCAACATCGACTATGAAGCCCTTCTCGAGCGCCCATTGGAGAGCCTCGACGGACTTCGGTGTGTAACGCGTGTACACAGTGGACAGCACAATGGTGGGGCCTGATGTGTTTGGGGCCTGAGTACCACTGGAGCGCAGCCTGGCAGCACTTCAGCATGATATCTTATATGGTCAAGGCAACAGACACGTACGATGCTATTGCCGCCTCGACCTCTGTAACGCGTAGTCACGTGGGGTATTCCCAGCATTATTCATGGCCGACGTGTAAATGATCGCCCTCAGCGCTGTGCTGCGCTCTGTCCAACTGAGCTACACCATCTTTCCGGGAATTGGCACTGGGATTGTGCGCACTCAGCATATAAGCTGTTGCTCAGGAAGGCAGATGTTGCATGAGAGGTGTGCATGGAAGGGTGATATTATCACGAGGAAAGGTTAGTCTGGGAAATTCTCGTTACAAGGAATGCAATAAACTGCACAACCTCTGTTATCAGTATAGTGCAGTGAAAAACATGCATTCGTCTCAGATACATCGTCCCAAGATTTCAATGGTCATATTTCTTACGAGGCCACTCCCTAGCCCCAGAGCTGGCCTCCGAATTGCTACAAGCGGTAGGACGGAAAACCACAAAAAACGCGGCCCTCGCGCACGGGAGATAGCAAGGCAGGAGTCGAACCCACGACCTCAGCTTGCGCTACGCTCTGACCATCTGAGCTACGGACTACACCGCGTGCGCCAAAGCCGCGTACAAGTGGAGTGCGCAACATCGTAAGTATTCATTGTGTGCTGTGTAGGGCTCCAACTGTTTTGTTTGTTTACTGTGTATAAACGTTTATTACTGTTTACTGTTTCCGTGTGTGTAAATGAAGTCATATAAACTTGGTGTAAACGTTTATACACAGTAAACATACAGTTTCCTCTTGTTGTTTGTAAAAGGTCTTAGTGTTGTACATTCATAGTCTTGCTAACAGACTTGACCTTTATTGGGCTGAAGAGTGCATCGCACCGCCTGTGCATCGTCCTCGGGCGGCCTCTTTGAACCCCCAAGCCCGGTGCACTGTATCAAGCGCCTATGCCCTGAGACTTACTGGGAGTAATGGTAGTCATGATCCTAACTTGTATTGAGCACAGTCTGAAGGCGAGCATTATAAATATAACATAATGTGTATTTATTGACTGCTCCTCTACATATAGTCTACTGTGGGCACTGGCAGCCTGCCTGCAAGAGTGCGGTATGCGGGAATGTTGTGAGCTCATAC